GAGCGTGGCAGAGGAAAGCAGCTCACATGACGATCAGAAGCAGAGAGAGACTCCACTCACCAAGTACAAAATATATCCCCCAAAGCCACGCCCCAACGCCCACCTCCTGCAGCCACACCCCACCCGCCTCCAGTTACCACCCATTAATTCACCGACTGGGCTAAGGCTCTCCTACCCCAGTCATTTCTCCTCTAAACACTTGAGCTTTTGGGGGACACCTCACCTCTAAACCATAATAAGAGTGAATCATTCCCAGGATGTGTTCCAGGAATCCAGGTCAATAAGATGACCCCAGGAGGAACAGTGACTCAAGGGGGGCCAGCGAGGAGCAGCACGTGCCCAGGGAACATGGCTCGTGGGGCTGGCGGGGCACAGAGAGCCTGAGTCTGAGGACTAGAGACAGTGACTTCTCCGAAAGCGGCCATCAAGGGCCAGTGGGATTTGGGACCATGTGCATGTGGGAGGGTGGGCTCTAGGGAAGTGCTGCGGAGGGGAGGGGGCCGCAGACAGGTTCAGGCGGCACAGCCCGTGGTTTGGACTGAGACTTCAAGAATTGAAAACTCACCTGCCTGATGGAGCCAGGGAATGGACAAGTGGAACCCGGGGGTGGACAACTGAGGGTATGGCCACCCTCTTGAGAGCCAGGAGAGCAGCAGGTGCCCTGGCTGACCCGGCCTTGCCAAGGCCCAGCTGAAGCAGAAGGAAACCCCTTTTGAACCCAGGTGAGGGTCTTCCAAGGATCACAGGGGAGCCGTTTCTGGAGGGGCGCTGCTCACCTTCCAGAGGAGCTGAGGGGTAGCGGGATCAGCGCGTACTTTGCTTGCTAGAGGCCTCACTCCCGCGACACATCCCATCCCCAGCTCCCTCCCAGGCTGGTCTTGCTTTGTGTCCAGCCCTGTCACCTCCCAGCCCACTGCAAACGTCCAGCCAGCCTGCGTCTCTGAGCTGCCCTGGCTCTGCCTGCTTCCTGTAGAAACCGGTCACTTGGGGTGTGACCCCCCTACTGCCTCCCAGAGTCCCCTAATCCCCTTTCATCCACCTCTGGGCCTCTGGCGAGATGGGCCGAGGCGGGTCCTGGCTCCCCAGCGCCCATTGTCTGTGCTCCTTGAGACGGTTAAAGGGATTAGGGCGGGGGGCTGGGCCAGGCAGCCTTCAGGGACGCGTGTGCAGTGGGCGAGAAGATGAGATTCCTCTTGCTTCCATCTTGCTTGTCCAGAGGGTTGGCGAGGGCGAGATAGACCGAGTGGCTAGGGGGGCATCCAATTAATTCCAATTTAAACCCAATTTGGTCTCCCGTATAATTAGAACAGCAGGCGTGTTTAACAGTGGATTATCTCTCCCCGGCAGTTGTTTTCCGTCACTCTTGCTCTGCACTGGGTCTTCCTGGTCCACCCACCCAGGCAGGGGATGTGCAGCTGAAGGGCGGGGCAGGTCCTCGGATGTGGGGACTCGGGAGGAGGAGTGACTGCAGAAGCTCATGCCCACTCAGCCCAGGTCTTGCCTAAGACAGTCCCCGGCCTGTGCCTCCATTTCTCTGTCCACGTCAGCAATATTCTGTATTCTGGCAGCCACCAGTGAGGAGAGGGAAGACACAGATGGCGGATCTGGAAGGTGAGGCCGTGAAGGCTCCAAGAAGAGTGGAAGACATGCGCACTGCTGTGCAACCCTGGGTGAATACCTGACCCTTCTGTTCTTCAGTTTCCTCACCTGTCAAATGGGGATGATGAAAATGGTCATCATAATAGAAAATCTCATTAATCGTCAGCCTCGTGTCTTAAGCAATTTCAAATGAACTCTCACACCACGGAGGCCCTTTGGGGACACAGCAGTTGATACCACAGTCAGAAAACCTAGTACCTAATTGCTTCACCTTGGCTCTGCAGGGGCTCAGACATGATTCTGAGGGTTCCAAAGCCTTGGTGGGAAAATGAACTTCCCCAGCCACGGCAGAGTTGGCACGACTGCGTTTGGGTTGATAACTCTGTGGTCTCTCTGGGTGGCTGTTCCTCCCTGTTCAGACTGTGCAGGGTCTTTGTACTCTGGTAGGAAGTATTCCTATCCATGTTTTGTTGGTCTTGAGCGCCCCCCCCCCCAATTCTTCCAGGGGACAAGGCAGTTCCCATGGCTCTTCCTATTAGCAGGGAAGGAGACTGACGCTCAGAGAGGAAGCCAGCTTGTTCTTTAGAGGCAGAGGAAGCTCAGAGTCCTGAGCCCTGAGTCCAGCCTTGCCTGAAGCCCACCTCCCATTTTGCAGATGACACACCCCAGACCCCCAACTCCAGCCCTGGACCCCTGGTCTGTGGCTCCTTCCTGGGGCTGGGTCTCTGTCCATAAAGGTCAGACACGGAGCCCCTTGCCCACAAACCCAGCCTCCACCTTCTCTCTCTCTGCCCCTCAGTACCAGGAACTTGGCCACAGCCTGATGCCTCACAGATTCTCCCAGGGGTGTCTGGGTAATCAGAAGATTCCTCATTTACTGATGACACTTCTCATTATCCAGAATGAACACAGACTTTTCCCGCTCCCCAGCCCCCAGGAGGGATTGATGGGCTGGGCCACTGGTGACTCTTCCCCAGGCCTGGAGATGGCTGCCCTTGCCGGCTCGGGGTGAGATCCCATCCGCTCTGGCTCTCCTCCCCCTCCAAGGCTAGGCTCTGTACTTCACATCCCCACGTTGAACCCACAGTCACAACCCTCTGTCTGACGGTACTCCATCTCTCTTTAACCAGGGAAAAGGAGGCTCAGGGAGGTCAGATCATTTTTCCAAAGTCACAGAGCTGGCGCCCATATATGACCCCCCAGGACCACACGCGCACTCGTACACCTACAGGTCCTAGGCCAAACAATCTGGGAATGTCTGGTTTTACAACTGAACACAAAGAAAAGCCAAGTACCTGACTGCAGAGCAACCAACGTATCCTCAGCAAAGTGGATCCAGAATCTGCCAGGAGGGGCCCCTCCCCACCAGTCACCACCAGGTCACCATCCCGCCTCCAGTGTCCCCACGGAGGGGTCAGCTGAGGCTCTTCAGCTACAGTGTGGTACACGGCATTTCCCAGGCAGCCTGGCCCGAAGAGTTTGGGCCCCTGTTTCTGACCCGTCCTCTGAAACTTTCATGCCTGGAAGCATCAGAGAGCCACTGGAACAAGGCAGAAGGATTCGGGGGGAGGCCTGAGGTCTCCTGCCTGTGCTCAGCCCACCTGTCACTCTGAGACACTGTCACGTGCCTAGGAAAGTTACTGCTTAGGGCTCACAGGTGCTTCTCCAACCACCTCCTGCACCACACCATGGAGGATCCGGATTTCAGAGGAGGGATGCTGATGAGGAAGGACAGGGACTTAACCTGCCACACCCTCCTGAGGCTGGGAAAATGAGGCTTTTACCTAAAAGGGTTTTGTGTCCTGAGGAAATTGCATTAGCAGCAGGTAGCTTATTTCTATACATGAATATATGTATGAACACACACACACACACGGGCTTTGTGATATTCGTGTGAACTTAACACCCAGCATGAAAGCTTAAAGCTGATGAATAAATTTTGGTTAGCAGGGCATCCCTGATTCCCGATTTATTACTTCATCAGGGACTCACGCAGGCTGGGGGCTGGAGAGCTGTTGGGAGTGAGAGTTGGCGACGCAGGTACCAGTTGAGTTATGAGTCACGGTTTATGAACCATTCTGTTCTGTGGATTCCAGGGATATTTATTGCCATCTGACCACTTGCATTTCCAGACTTGGTTTCACAAATGGAGAGAATGGGACCTTAAAAGTGTCCTTTCGAGCCAGGCACAGTGGCACATACCTGTAGTTCCAGCTACTTGGGAGGTTGAGGCAGGAGGATCACAAATTCAAGGCCAGCCTGGGTAACTTAGTGAAATGCTGTTGCAAAATGTTAAAAAATATTTTAAAGGATGGGGGATGCTGAGGACGTAGCTCAGGGACAGAGCACCCCTGTATTCAATCCTCAGTACTACAAAAAAAAAATTGTCCTCCCTGGGCCTCACCTGGGGCTGGGCTGGCAGCTGCAGAGAGGTCAGCCTGCAGACCTGGGGATGGATGGACGCCCATCCCAAGTGCTCCCCACAGTGGCACCCAAGAAGTCAATCCATTTTTTTGGAAAAAGCAAGGGTCAAGATTTCATCCTATTTTTTTTTTAAAGAGAGAGAGAGAGAGAGAGAGAGAGAGAGAATTTTTTAATATTTATTTTTCAGTTTTCAGTGGACACAACATCTTTATTTTATTTTATATAGTACTGAGGATCGAACCCAGCGCCCCACGCATGCCAAGCGAGCGCATTACCACTTGAGCCACATCCCCAGCCCAAGACTTCATCCTATTTTTAAAAGTAGGATCCAAAAGGATGAGACAGATCTACCATTTACTAATGAAAATTGCAAGGTACCAGTCACCATGCATGTATTTTCCTCACAATGAGCCCGAGAAAGATGATCTTCGCCCCACCATTGACAGCTGGGGAGTTGAGGCCCAGAGAGAGGGGTGCATTCATTTCTAGTACCCGACCGGATGGCTAGCAGTGTGGGCTTTGGAGCCAGACAGACACCAAGGTTCCAGGAACGCACATGACACTGGGCAAGTGACTACGTATCTCTGAGTCTTGCCTTCCCCAACTGAAATGACAGGGGTTATACCAGACATGCAGAAAAGTCACGTGGAGTGACAGTTGGTTAGGATTAGTAGGATCCACAAAGCAGACCATGAACTTCAGACCAGGGCTGTGAGGCCCCAGATCGAGTGGCTTATTCCAGCCCCACATCCAGGGAGGACTACACTGGGGAGCCCAGCCTCCCCTGCCCACCTCCTGTCCCCTTTGTGTCATGACTCAAGTGCCCTGCCACTCTCCAGCTGTGCTTGAGCATGCTGGGCGTGAGGTGGGGATCTCGGCTTGTCCCCCACAGACGCTGCAGAACCCAGTGAGGACTGGAGTCTTCAGGGGCAGCCAGTCCTGGCCATTCCACTATCAAATAATTTGGGGCTCCCTGGTCCAATCACAGTCGCACAGGTTCCTCCCCTGCAGACCATCTCAGAGCCTTTACTGTGCCTGGTTTAGAGTGTTTCTTATTAACCAGAAGAGCTCTGGGGGAAGGGACCCTGGGAACATGAACCGTTCTGGTGGGCGGGGCTGTTTCTTGGCATCAGGGTAGAATCTCTGCTTTCTGCATCACTTGCTTGTGACCTTGAAAGTCCCACTTGACCTTAGAGCATCCTTTGGGTATACCAGGGCCAGTCAGAGCAGAGGACAAAGGCTGCAAGGCAGAAAAGGGAGGGTCAGGGTCACTGTCAGGCTGAAGGGCAGATATCTTGGGCACAGCTGGGCGTGGACCTCCGTGTGCCCTTGGCCAGCACATTGCCCTCTCTGGGCCTCCGTTTCTGCATCTCTGAGGTCTGAGGGTCTTGGAGGATCCTCCGGTTCAGGCTTTGTGCACCAGGGCATCTGCAGGGCAGGAGGGGTGACTTCTCTGGGTCTCTGCTCTACTCCTCTGGTCCCCGCTGAAGCCCCCACCCCAGGGAGGATGATAAAGGAGTCAAGAGGCCGCCCAGGCTTAATGTAGCTGGAGTGAGTGAATAATTGATGCACGAGGAGATAAGATCTGTCTCTGAGGGAAGGGGAGGGAAGGAAGGGCCGTGGCGTGTGGAGGAGGGCTGAGGCTGGAGCAGGAGACTCTGGAGGCCACATGGACCTCCCTGGAGGACCTTGTCAGGCCCTGCCCAGTAAGACCTGAGGATGCAGCCCTGGGGACAGAGCCCTGCCAGCACTGTCAATGAGGAGGGGGTGGTCTAGATCCGATGGAGGGAACATTGGGGCTGGCTCTACTCTGGACCTCAGGCCTGAGGTGGGTGCAGCCTGACCCCACGCAGCAGATAGATTCTTCAGGTTGGGTGATCCTGGCCCAGTGTCACCAGAACACAGACAGTGGGAAGCTGGTGTGTTCAGGGACCCTTGGGGAGGCTGGCCTGGCGCTCTCAGGACGTCCCTGATGGCGAACCATCTCCCAGTCATCTGGCCAGGGGTGGTCCTGGCTCGAGGAGTCGGAGGCCTGGCTGTGAGGATGAGGCAGACCACGTGCGGGGAGCAGAGGTTTGCTGGGGCTGTTTCAAAGACTGTGGTTGTTTGGTCTGTTGCTTTGGGGCCTGTGGGGAGGCAGGACAAGGCGGTGGGAGCATGTGGCAGAGGAACACTTCCATCACGGTGGCTGGCAGGCAGGAGGGAGAGGGAAAGAGGAAGGATCCAGGGCTCCAGGCTCCCGCCCTGGGGCACACCCCAATGTCCCGATTCCCCTCCTCCACACCCAGGGGTGGCCTTCGTCCATGAGAGGCCAAGAGGGCGAAGTTGACGTCCCGGCTCCCTTGCTCCTCGGTGAGGAAGCTCCGAGGTCCGTCGCAGGTCCTCTGTCCCCGCCGCCCACTCCCCTTCCTCATAGCACCTCCTGGGACTGTCTCCAAACAAACCGCTTGCACCCAAATCTTTGTTCCAGAGCCTGTTTGGGGGGGATCTACAGAGGTGAGACTGATCTGCGTCCAAGACGTGGACCTGGTGACTCCTCATCCCAGCCTCTGTGGCCACCGAGTCCCTGGTTCTGCCTTCCTCTCTGCTCCTTGACCTTGCTCAGTGTCGGGGCCCCGGGAAACGGCAGCAAAATGTGGGTCCTGAGGGACTGGAGGCCAGGTACCAGCAGAGGGTCCACTAAGGGCCACAGCCCCCAGGCCACCTTGAGCGGGTCTGGTGGCATCACCGCCACGGTGGAGCTGATATAGGCTGGCTGATGGCAGAGGCCCGTGTGGGGCTGGAGGAGGAGGAGGAGCAATTAGCTGCAGCGTGATAGCCAAGACAGGGCTGCTAAGTGGGCCCATTAGAGGGCATTAGTGACCCGGCAGGGTGGTGGCTGTGCTGAGACCCTGGCCCTGACTGGTCGGCTGACGGGCTTGGTGCTGCTGGGGCTGGGGCTGGGGGTGACCTGAGACCCGTCAGGGATTGTGGGCCCCAAGGTAAGAGTTGCTTTAAAAGGGGGGTACCTTTCTCCTGCAGCCGCAGCCCCCTGTGGGGTGCCCACCTGTGGCTGCTCAGAGTGCACTTGCAAAATGATGTCGCCCAGCTGACAGAGATGATGGCTTTAATGGGGCCTTGGGCGTAGAGCACTTAACACGTCTCCCGGCGCCCTGTCCCAGCCATTAGGTCATTAGCTCAGGCCTCTGAGGGCCTGCTTCACAGCAGGGAGGGGGCGGGGGGACGGTCGGGTGACATGTTAAAGGTTAACCAGGGAGTTGATGAGAGCAGAGTCCCACCAGTTTCCTTCACCCAAACCCAACCTACCTGGCCTTGCCGCAGAGTCGCTAATGACCCTTGAGATTTGGGACAGGGTTATATTCATCACTGTGACCCCAAAGCCTGGTGTTAGGTCTGGTACAGAGCAGGGGCTTTACAAAATGTGGTTATTAAAGAAGATGAGGACCCAGCAGCCACTCCGGCCCCCATCTCAGGCTCTCCAGAGCCCTGGCAGTGCGGGGCAGTGGTCACAGAGACCAGCAGGTAGCGCCCTTCCTTGCTGTGTGACCTCACCAAATGGCGGAACCTTCCTGACCTTCAATTCTCTCATCTGTAGGGTGGGCTCAAAGCAAGATCTGCTCCTGGAGAGCTATGAGGATCAGGACAGGGTGCACAGAGAGCTTGGCAGAGCACTCAGCACATAGTGAGCATGCTGCAAATGGCGGTGGTCACTTTTGCTGCCACTTTCACCCATTTGTATGGTGGGCTCCATTCAGAGTACCTGTCAAAGTCCCAGCAGCTGGGGGTGACCAGGACTGGATTAGCAGTAGCAGTAAAACCCCAATGGGAAGCCCAGGCCAGAGGCAGGCCTCAGGGCTCCTCAAAGACACGCAGGAGCAGGACTCCATACCCCTGTGGCCACATCCAGCTGCACCAGGCTCGTGGCTCTGCTCAGGAAGGGCTACCCTGTGTCAAGAATGGGCTGGCGGCTGCAGACGGGGTGCAGCCCAGAGAAGCAGGTCTGCACCAGGGTGGGCTGATCAATGTTCATGGCTCTAAGAACATGCCGGGTTGCTGTGTGTCCACAGCAGGAACTTGGGGACAGAGGCGCGGGCTCAGAGAGAGCCCTGCCTTGTCCTTGGCAGTGCCAGTGGGTGGAGACGGCGTGGCTGGGGAGCTGGGAAGGTGGGGGTCTGTGTAATATTCCCATCCCTGGGCTGGATCCACCCTCTGGGCAGCTCAGAGAGGACCCCAAGCCAGCTCTGCCACCCTGCACCACTCCCGGGAGCCACTCACGCGGTGACTGAGAGTGGACCTGATAGCCCTTTCCTATCCGCCGCCTCTTTGCTTCCTCCGGCTTGACTTTCCCGGTGCCCACCGTTGAATTCTCCTGCAGCTGGAGCAATAGAGACAGAGCGCTCTGTCCAGGGCACAGAATGGGAAACTGAGGCAGGGCGAGACCAGGTGACTTGTATTCAGCTGACAGTCACTGCAGTTCTAGGAAGGGAAGGGAACACGGAAGAGCGAGATGCGCCCTCAAGAACGACGCGGGCGCGCTCATGTCCCTGCGACATGAGTGCGACCAGCCTGCTTCCGTGCGCCCCTTCTCAATGGAGCCCCTCAGCAAACCTCGGGGAGAAGGCAGGACAGGGGACTAACAGGCCCATTTGGCAGGTGAGGAAGCAGCTGTGCTGTACTGAAAACTCTTCCTGAGCGTCGCTTGGTTGTAATGAAAATGATGAACAAAACCCCTCCGAGGTATCATCCCCAGTGCCCTGGGGCTGGAGGGGCCCATTTCCAAGGCTGTGGAGTTCCAGAACTTGTCCACCCAGGGTCAGGCCCCAGCTGGTCACTGTTTCTGTTGTGGCTCTGGTAACCACAGGCTGTTTAGGGGTCAGCCGTGGGATAAGCCAGTGGGCAGGGGCAGCCGGCGTGTTCCCTGTTTGTCTCTCCCGCCCTCTTCCTCGCTGTCCTCCCCCACCAAAACCAAGGGCAGGACTCGCTCTCCCCAGCCACGTGCTGCTCTGCCTCCTCCCGCTCTGGGGTCCCGTGGCTGCTGTGCCTTAGTCCTGCCCCACCGTTCCTTGGTGCAGGTTGCGTGTGGCCAACAGCGTAGGCACCATGAGCCTAGAGCAGGACGTGAATGGCATCTGGAGTCATCTAGGGCACCCCCCACAGGGCACCTGCAGGCTGCCTCCCCTCCTGGTTTTGAAGACATTGGAGCAAATCCATCTGCTCTGCCCGAGGCCCTCGTCACCCCTCACCCACTCCAGGCTTCATCTAGCTCCCAAACACCCAAAGCCCCATCCCAGAAAATGAAGATGTGGGGATGACAAGGGCACCTGCCTGCAAGTCAGGGCGAGGGCTGGAGGAAGGCTCGCAGCCAGAGCACCGAGCCCCCGCCACACAGGGGTGGGGGGACTCTGCAACGGGTGCTGTGTGCTGTCTTCGTTCTGGGCATCAGCCCCCTGTGCCAGGGCACCAGGGAAGTGACCCAGGTGCATGCTCCCTGCTGTTCTGGAGTGCAGTGTCCTCACATCCATGGGCAGCTCCTCCGGGAGCCCCTACCCTGCAGACTGCGCAAGGACCCTGCTGCTGCTGCTCCAAGGCTCCTGCCCTCTTAGATGCCTGGCAGCCAGGGACCAGGGATGGATTTTAGGAGTGTCCCCTGCTTGCAGCACGGACCAGGAACTGAAGAGCTGAGCACCGAGTGATGAGCCTGAACCCCTGTCCTCTCCTGTCCCACTGTCCCACTCTATGTGGAGCCCGGTGCTGCAGGTCTGTATCCATGACCCCAGGTGGTTCTCGTGAGCGCTCCAAGGGGCAGGGAAATGGCTTCACAGATGACAGAGGAGCTGACAAGGCAAATGAGACTGTGTAGCCATGGCACCGGGCCCTGCACCCAGGACTGGAGGGACACAGGGAGACTGGGTGTGTCCTGTGGGAGCTGGAAGTTCACAGGAGACTGCAGGAGTGCCCCCCCCCCACACACACACACAAAGCAGAAAAGACCAATAGCCCGGAAGTCCCTTCCTCCTGCTCTCAAGCCCCAGGCAGTGCCTCCCAGGTCAGAAGGCACCTGAGCCATGGCCTGCAGGAGTCTGTCCCTTTGCAGAAGAAGGCCGAGGGACAGATCTCAGGGTGAAGCAGCCTGGTGCCCATCCCACCGTCCCATGTCAGATACGGTGCTGCCCGGCTTTACTCCAGGCCCCTGACCAACGGCCCTGCAGTGGCCTGGCTCCGTCCTCTCTGGCCTAGGTTCTGCCATTCCTGTTAGCCTTGGCCCTCCCTCGGCTCCCAGACACCAGCCCCGTGGCCTGCTGGACACCATCTGTGGGCAGCCTGGATCCTATGCCTGGCAAGAGGGGACCTACCCTCCCTCAGTCCCACCCTGGGACATGGTATGGCAGCCACCTCCACCTTGGGCCACTACACACTCAGAGCCGCATGGGTCCTTGACAGCCCAGGAAGATGCCCATCTTCACCCCTCACGGCCACCGTGCTCCATGGTTTGCCTCCTTCCCAGTGTCCCCCGGCCCTCAGTCCACTGCAGCTCTACCCTCTGTCCTCACCAAAAGTCTCTTTCTTCTGACCCACCATTCCCAGGGGCCTTCAGATGTGCTGTTTCTCTCACCTAATGATCGATCCCTTCCCACTGACCCTTGTCACCCTCCAGCGACTGAGCGGCCAAGCGTTCCACAGTGGTCCACGTCTCCAATTCCATCGTCCCCTCCAGCCTTCCTCTCCTCCCCGACTCCAGCAGAATGTCGGTCCTCGTCAAGATCTCTAACGTCTGGGTCGCCCCACCCAGGTCTCAGTGCTGTCCCCATCTTCTCTGACATCCAGTGACATCTGGTCCAGTTGGTCATTTTAGTCCAGGACAGTCTCTTCCCTGGCTTCCCCGTCCCTCACCTCACTGCCTCCTCCGTTCCCTTGTGGACTCTCCACTGCCCAGCCCCTTGCTGTGGGGGAGCCCCAGGCCTCAGGCTATCACACTCCCAGGTCATCTCACCTGTTCCGGCTTTTACAGACCCAGGCCTTATTGGTGGCTTCCATTTGTATGAGCCTGAGCCATGACACTGAGCGCCATGTTTGTTTCCCCAACTTACGATGGTGCCATGCTCCAACCATCCCATGTTAAATTGATGACATTTTCAGTTGAGAATGCATTTAAGGTGGTGGTGGGGTGTGGTGGCTCAGTGGTATGGTGCTCGCTAAGCATGCACAAGGTCCTGGGTTCCATCCCCAGGGGGTGTGCACACTTGTGCACACACACACACACACACACACACACACACAAGTGCACTTACTGTGCCTTACCTACTGAACATGGCAGCTTAGCAGGACAAGGTGCCATAGCATGCTAGTTCTTTCTCCTGGTGATCACATAGCTAACCAGGAGCCACGACTTGCTGCCATCACCCAGCATCACCAAAAAGTATCACACTGCATCTCCCTAGCCGGGGAAAGATCAAAATGCAAAATTTGAAGTATGGTTTCCACTGATTGTCTATTGTTCTTGCACCATCAAAAAGCAGAAAAATCGAAACCAAGGACCCTCTGTGCCCACCTGTTATGGATGTGACCACGTGGGCATCTAAAATCGCCTTGGCTGGACAGGACTCTGCTACACCCACCGCCTGTCAATGAAGCCAGCCATCCCCTCATGGCAAATGGCACCACAGTGCCCACTGCTCACTCTGAAGGGAGGGGTACCCTCAGTCCCTCTGTCTCCCCCCTGTATACTGCCTATCACCAGACCGTCACCTACTTCCTGAGTTGTGCCCCCAAATGATCCTCCTCTCTCCAATGCCAGTGCCTTGTCCCCCTCCAGCAGTTTCCCTCTCTCGACTGTTGTGTAGCCGCCTCCTCCTCCTCCATCTCCCTCTATTCACTCAGTGACCAGTTACTTTTGTAAAACTGGGCTCAGGGCCCATTACTCCCCTCCTGACACCCACAGCATCCAGAATAAAATCCAGACTCTTAACTGGAGCTCATGAGCCTCTCGTGGATATGGTCCCAGGGGCTCCCACCAAGTGCCCAGACACAGAGGCTGCCTTCCCGATGCCCCCTGTGCATGCCCAGCTCGTTCCACCTCAGGGTCTTTCTCAGGCCCCTCTGCTCTAAAGGTGCCTTCCCAGTCACGTAGAGACGTAACTGCTCCCCATGTGCACAGAGGTGGATTTCCAGTGGCGTCTCCAGCACACAGTAGGCACTCAGCACATATTTGTTGAGGGGAAAAAATAATCCCATTATATAGATAAGAAAACTGAGTTCCAAGAGAAGAACGCCAGCTGTGATGGCTACCATCCAGCGGCCGCTGAGCTGGCCTCGGGCCCCACAAGGCCTGTTTGTCTCTAGTCCAAAGGGCTGGTGGCAGGGGGCAGGGCCTTGTTGCTCACTGAGCTGGCCCGGGGCTGGGGACTGGAGCGAGAGCCCTCTAGCGTGCCAAGACCTTCCTCCTGGTGTCGCCTGCCGGTGATGGATGCCCAGTGCTGGGATTTTTCCTTCTCTCTCTTT